CCCCCCCCCCCACACCCAATGTTTCAGTCATGTTTATGCGCTGCAATTCAGAGAGGCATTGCCATTGATGGCTCAGTCCTAGTGCTAAAGTGGAAACCGCGACGCACCCTGTGTGCAGAACCCAAATTCTCTCCAGCAGGAAGCTCAGACGAGGTAACCCAGCCTCACGATGTTGGATCAACGCTCCTTGTGGGAGGGTTCTAAGTCAGGAAGTCCAAGCCGACGGCTTCCCGAACCGATCAAGTCCCGATGCCACCCTCCATCACTGCCTTTCTGGCAGCCACTAGCCGCCCTATCTGCTCATGGCAAGGGGGTGGCTGAAGCCGGGTCTGGCAGCACTCGTGGCTGGGTGACATCAGCTAATGATGGACGCTGGGTTCTTCGTCCTGGTTCCAGCAAGCTGGGAATTTGGGGCTTAGGGCACTCTCAAGGGCTGCGACGAGAATCACGGGCGAGCATGAAGCAAACGTTTGTCAAACACGGCCTTGAGAATTGAAATCAGAGCCAAAGGCTGCTGTCTATTTGCATTTCATTCATGACATATCCCGCTTCCAGGCATTTACTCATCTATCTCCATCCGCCAATGTCACTGGCCGGCTGGTCTGGCCTGAGTGCGCTGAGCCTCTGTTGGGGATGTCATCGCGGGCGTGAAAGCCTTGGTTGGTAAGTTGGAGCAGCTCGGTGGGCGACATTCGGTTGGAGATGTAATTGTTAATGAAGATACGGGGTCGCTCTCGCCTTTGCTGCTCGCGCCGGTACAGGACGAAAAAGCCAACGGATACGAGGGCAACAGGGATGGCAATCCCGACTGAGATACCCACGATGGTGCCAGTGGAAATGCTCGTTGTCACCGCTTCGGAGCTCTCGGTGAACTCGGTGTTAGATGAAGCAGCGGTATGCTGCAACGACACTGACGAGCCTTCTTCCCTCAGAGCAGCACCAGCTATCTCGTGCCGGACCACCTTGGCCATGGATGTTGGGGCGACCTGGGATTGTCAGCTCGAGCCCCGGGAATGGAGTGGAACCTCCAATAAACTCTCACTGAAACAACCATAATCCCTGGTACGAGAGCTTTATCCTCTTGTGCTGTGGCAGGCGCTCGTGTCACAAGCTGCTCCGTGGACCTCTCACGCTGGCCCAAGTCGGTAGTGAAACTGGTCTCATCATTCCTGAGCGTCATAGCGGTATAGCAGCCGCGCTGATCATTGTTGCACGTGAAAGAAACCGCCTCGACGCTGTCAATCCCTATAAGTCAGGCCAATCCCCCCAATCTTTTTGGCCGGATGAAGCAGAGAAACGGTTCACAAACCTCGGACAGCAGGTCACAATGCTCACCTGCCTGCCATTCAGCAACGAACCGGCTGTCGTCGCGCAGGCAGCAGTGAAGCCGACAGGGCATTCGGCTTGGGGTGGGAGGCAGTTCGGGTTTGGTGAAATTCCCATGGGGACAGGCGTGGCTGTGCCGCGCATCTTGCTGACTTGTTGGCCCAGATCGGCAAAACATGACACTGGCCCGGCGGCCCATGTCGAGGTGAGAGAAGAGAGTGACATGGTAGGCGCTACGTGCGGATCAAACAGATCCAGGGTGCAATCGCGAGTGATAGCGACACCTGCTAAGTACAAGGTCATTTGAGATGTGAGATCGTATTCATATATTAAGTCGAGCAGGATTATTATCATGAGCCGACTCGAGGAGTCTAGGCCTGTCCTTGAGGGGAAATCATTCCGCGTAATCACTCTGCTTTTCAGCCTTCCCGTCGACGTCGCACAGCGTTGAGAAATTGCCTGGCCATTAGATGTAGCCATCCCCGAAGCACTCGACTCCGTGCCGTCCCTTGGCATAGTTCAAATACGGGACATGGCCAACGATCGCTTGGCAACTCAGCCCCCGGGCCAACTTACCGTATCGAAGCGCTGGAAATGCGAGGGGCTAGAGGCGTGTTGGTGGAAGCACGTCGTCTTGACTGTAATTTCGACATGCCACAAACCGAACCCGTTGGCTTCTTCCGCTCCGTCGCCTGTTGGTCGCAGGATTTTCGTCATTGGATAGTACAGCGCCCGGGCCTTGTCAGCTGAAGCCAACATCCACCCGGATCGTCCTCAGACATGTCTTGATTGGCCATGGCCAAGTTGAGATCAGCGTGAGAGTGTCCTGCAGCAGAAGGAGGCGTTTGGGGCGTCCGCTAGGCTTATGCCGCCGATAAGACAGTTCTGAAAGCATCGCCAGATAATTTTCGCATCCGGAACCCTTCCCACATAGGGCTATAGTTTAGGCCGGATTCGACAGCACGGAAAGAAGCTACTGCTGCCGGATTCGTATAGAATCAGGCCACGGATCAATACTTGATCGATGTGCTACCACGTTACCAGCCGTATTGGCACGTAGCGTCACATTCGCTATGAAGGAACGAGATGCGGGTGGGGATTTGCCTTCAGCTGGGCCACACCCGCGCAAAGAGCCTTTTTAGTGGCGCACACTGGGTTTTGGCTTGCACAGCACAGTCTCAGTACGTAGACAAAGGACCCTCATCGCCATGTAAGATTTAGGCAATCGGCTGGGGCGACGGCTTACTGCCTGAAATAGATCCGAGTCTATCAGAGGGGCGGGCCAATGCATGCAAGGCGTGAGCCCGTATATCTCGCCATTGCGTCCCGTCTGCCTCCCACATCGTCCTCCGGTCATTCAATCAACAGTCGATGAGAAGACGGCTCTTGTCGTCGGCTGGGCTTGGCAATCATGGCAGTCAGCAGTGAACTCCCGCTGGTGAACCCGGCCTCACCAGCGCAATACGCCCGTGGCTACGCTCGCCGGTACCGCCGCACTGGTATCGCGGCCTTCGTCTTTCTCTCTGTCGCCGCTCTCCTGTTCTTTCTCCATCGATCTGGGCTCGAATCATGGCGATTCCGGCCGTCCGCAGAGTCGCTGAAGCCTGCTGTAGCTCACATCCCCGAGACGATATGGCAGATTATGCTCCCGAAGAAACCGACTCCCGACCAACCGACCATTGAGGCGGGGCGGCTCGAGAACACCGCCTCCTGGCTTGCGCTGAATCCAAATTATTTCTAGTAAGATAGCTCCTCTCAATCATTCTAATGGCCCCTTTATCTTTACTCTCTCTTACTCTCATTTTCCCTTCATCTTCCGGTTTCTCTATTAACACATGAATAAAATGTAGCACTCTAGTCGACCAGAAAGGCGGCGATGACTTCATTCACCAGCACTTCTCGCATAGACCAGACATTATCGAGACATACACCAACATGCCGAATGTGGGTATGAAATCAGACATGCTGCGCTACCTCCTTCTCTCCATCGAGGGAGGCGTATACACCGACACCGACACCATCGCACTGCAGCCGATCGAGAAATGGATTCCCTCTCACATCCGGAACCGAACCCGTGCGATTGTTGGCATTGAGTACGATCGCCGTGAAGGCCCAGCATGGGCTGACATCCCTCACGTCCTCCAGTTCTGCCAATGGACCATCGCTGCCGCCCCCGGACATCCGGTATTCGACAAGATGGTGAATCGCATCATCAACTCGACCAAGTTGCTGGCGGAAGAACACAAAGTCCCCCTTAACCAAGTCAAGCCTGAGAGCATTGAGGTTATGAACTCAACCGGACCTGCCGCGTGGACCGACGTCGTGTTTGAGCAACTACAGGAGCTGGAGCCGTGGATCAAGGAGTTGACGGATCTCTCCTACATGAAGGAGCCGACCCTCTACGGCGACATGCTCGTTCTGCCCATCGATGGGTTCGGCATGGGGCAGCCGCATTCAGATAGTACTAATGATGGTTCCATCCCGCCCGACGCATTAGCCAGGCATCTATTCAAGGGGACATGGAGAGGGAATTAAAATCGATATAATGATTATGATATGCTTAATTTTCAAGCCGTTTTCAAGAGATTTCACGGATAGGTGGATAAAAGCAAATATGGTGCAATGGGCAAAACCGTTCCAGGGCGACTGGAGTGTGTTCTTCGACCAAGTACGCAGGGATTATACGGATCGCAGCGACGCTTTCTATTCCTCGGGATGCCTGGAACATGGATGATGAACGAGCTCAGCTCCCCCCCCTGTTTCCAGCCTTGGCAGACAGACCGGCAAAATTGAAAAATCCTTGCAGTTTTCTTCTCACATCTCGACTCAGTTCAACTGCTCGCAAGACGGCATTTCTTTGATCTGGCGGCTAGCTATTTTCCGAAAATCTTTCGCTACGATATGATACCAAATCAAATCTTATGGGTGTTATTGGGGACGGAGTTAATGGCGCCCTTTCAAGCTCAGGCACGCGTATAATTTGGGTGAAAAAAATTAATCAATTTACGCCATCTCATTCAATGACTTGGGGTCCTGACTGTGGATCATTCTTTGCATCTTGTGCTCGTTTACTCTGACTCAGATATCATGCTACTACTCACATAGCGGCCACAATAAGATTAGCTCCTCGGGAACGAACCCTGTATATAGGGCTTCTATGACATTGCTGAGGGAGGGGGCCTGCGCCTTACAGACAGTTGGATTTATATCCCTGCTCCTCGCCTATTTGAAACGTCCGTTCCGCAAATTCGTGAGTGGTTGGGTGGGTATCGGGAAGAGGTGTGAGATAGAAAAGTCCCAACACTCGGGAGGATGAAGCAGGATTGAGAAATGAGCGTTTTCGTTGTGGAACAGACCTTCTTGGAATCTCACCTAGGATCGGGGCGATAGCCTTCCCAAGTCCCTGTGAAATTGGGCCTTTGGTACAAGCTGCGAGAAATAGGAGTCCGATGAGATAGTTATTTCAGTGCCGAAAACAAGGCATGCCGTTCTCTGAAAGAGTTTGGCTTATAACGCTTTTTCCAAATATCCCTTCAGCTTGAACATGTTCAAACTATAGGCCAAAACATGGGTATCAAAGCGACACACCTAGCCATCCTATTTTGGAAAATCAGCATATAGGATTTTAGGAAAGAATTCATTCTGTGCCTTTAGTTCGTACCAGAGCCCCTATTTGGATCCTTTCATAACGTCCGTCGACATTTCGTTCAGAGACGAAATGATCTAGTCAACGCACCGTTATTGGGGAACTTGCTACAAAATCATAGGAACAAGGTTCTTCCGATCGGGGAATACATAGAAATTCGATTTTTACCTTACCAATTAGGCGTGCAGTGCAGGTTCATCTAGTTTTAGGCCTGGACTAGGGGCAACAGTTATCGTGGTTAACAACTTGGTGACTACGTCCCAGCCAAGGGTTTAGCTTTTTAAATCTCGCCATACCCCTATTAACCCAAGACTAACAAGATAGCTATTTACTTATTCCATCGCCGTAAGCAAGGGTCAATCTAAGATTATGCTACACGCGTGACTTTATCATCACCAACAACAAGAGATTAATTGTGAACTAAACATTTTTTCAATTATCTATCCCCAATCCTGAACTATCATGGACTATAACAACAACTTAGATATATTATTTCCGTACGTAATTCAAAAAGAACACGGAAAACAAACACAAACCAATAATAATCGGTATGGAACACGATAGTTCCGAACAATGTCTGGCCGGTGTTTTTGACAACCCAGTAATAGAAGCTATAGGTTAGGTTGAGTCAAGCTAGCAGAAGTTGAAAGTTATCATCCTCCATGATCAAGTCATGTTCTCCTTCTACTTCTATTTCTTTCTATATAGATGGCACTTAACCAGACAGATTGAAACATGCCGGTTAGGTAGGTTGTGAATCTTAACTTTTCAGCCCATCCACACCAACATAAACAAGAGGCGTCAGGAGGTTTCTGCAACGTGGACAGCCCCTTGGAGACAAAGGATAGATCAATTTCCATACCCATTCTTGTCGGCTAAGCCCAAACTACGTGGCGGCCAATTGTTAATTGACCGTATTTGGATATTCATGAAACTAATAAACGTTGCCCGTCTCGATTTGCGTCACAATAGGTGAGCTCCATAATGATTCAAAATGGAACTATGCCAAATGCAGTGGAATAAGGCGAGAAACGTCAATATTCCCAATGGTCATGTTAGCTGGCCAGGGCATATGCAAGTTTGGCTTGTTGCTAGCGCTGACCAACGTGGCTAAAGCTGCGGACGATCGTCGAGATCGATGCTCCAGGAGAAAACACGGCGGGTCGCGCATGCTTCCTGATTGGGAATACATCCCCAGTATTTCAGCCAGCGGCGGATTGCAATTGGCTTCTGGCTGTCTCATTACATCACTGCTCTATGATCTGGGGACGGAGGATTGAGGCCATGCCGGCGGCCGGCACGGATCCGATGACGATAGGGCAGATTTTAAAAATATCCAGGACTATTGGGAATCATGGCCGAGAAGGATGTGGGGAGTGTGATGATCATGAAGACGTGGTTGCTGGAGCAAGGCTGAGTAGACATTGGCATACGTACCCACGATTCCTCACTTATATAAAGGCATCTTGGAATGCTTTCTCAACCTGCTCTGGACTATTCCAAACCACCTCTACCAAGGACCAAACAAGAAGCATCAAGATGCGGTCGTTTACTTCACAACTTCTGGGCGTGCCACTGCTCATGTGGACTGCTACTGCAAGTCCTCTGCACACGGCTCGCGACAACACTGGCATCAATTGGACGCCGTGTGACTTTCCTAACGCGACTCTACCCGTACAATGCGCCAACTTAACAGTGCCTCTTGACTACTCAAACTCAAGCTCCTCCGAGACAATGACATTGCCCGTGTTTCGTGTGCAAGCAGCAGTTGACGAGGCCTCCAAGAAGGGCAGCATTCTCTACAACTGCGGCGGTCCTGGATCCGACTGTCTGAACGACCTGGTCGCATTGGGGAACGTCTTGCAAGCGTAAGTGTTCACCAAAGTGTATTGCAAGTTTCTTTGGCTTTGGCTCACTGACATGATATGCAGCGCGACTGGTGGCTACCACGACATCGTCACATTCACCCCTCGGTGAGTCCAATGAACAAACAGACTTCTTCTCTCTGTAAGCAAAAATGCTAACTAGGAATCAGAGGAACCGGGAAAACTCTTCCATTTGAATGTTTCGCAGATAATCTTAGTCGAGCTGTGGGGATGCCCGCACAAGTTGGAAACGCAACCGACGTCGTCGTTGGAGAGACTTGGGCCAAGAGTACCCTCTACGGCAGTACCTGTGCCGCTGTCCAGAATATGACCGGCAACCTCATTGGAACTGCTTTTGTTGCCAGAGACATGATGCAGATTGTCGACGCACTCAAAGAGGACGGTCTTCTCCGATATTGGGGTGAGTTTTTATTAGACGCTTCTCCTGTCTTGAGGATATGATGTGTTGACAACAGTTGATGTAGGTGTTTCATATGGTACCTTGCTCGGTTCAACTGTCTTGGCCATGTTCCCGGATCGTGTCGACAAAATCATCTTGGACGGCGTGGTCAACCCGTTCCAATACTACGCCAACCTCGAGACAGAGACATTGGTGGACGCCGACGCCACATTCGAAGGATTCTGCAAAGGATGCGTAGAGAACCCAGATGCCTGCCCCCTGGCAAAGAACCAAACGGCAGAGCAGCTCCAGGAATCCATCTACACCTTCCTCGAGCAGCTCAGACAAAGTCCCATCCCCGTCCCAGCTCCCGGAGGCGGCATCGTGCTCGACTACAGCACTGTCAAGGGCTCATATCTGTACGTCCAGCTCAAGTTCCCGTCGTCCTGGACCAAAGTCGCGAAGAACCTTGACGCTCTCATGACCGGAAACTTGTCTGCTGCCGAGGGCATCGGTGCTGGCGGATCCAAGGAGATATCGCCCAGCTCGCCTGACGCGCTGTACGGCATCAAGTGCGGCGACACCTTCACCGAGAACCAGACGTTCGAGGACGTGCTCCCCGTCCTGGAGACACGGATCAACGGCAACAGGATCGCGGGCGAGATCAGCGCACCTTCTATCTGCGCCAACTGGAAGCTCCACGCCAAGGAGCGGTACTCTGGTGATTTCCGCGTCAAGCCTCTGAACCCAGCTCTTATTATTGGAAATACATACGATCCGGTGACGCCCCTCGTGTCGGCTCGCAACGTGAGCGAGACCTTTGAGGGAAGCGTTCTCCTCCAGCATGATTCGTACGGAGTAAGTCTTCCCCCCTTTGATCTAGATATCGCCTTGCTCTTTATGATAGGAAAACTGACTTTTGTGTGAAAATCAGCATACCAGCATCATGCAGGCGTCGCTTTGCACTGCCAAAGCCATCCGGGCTTACTTTGTCCGTGGTGAGCTCCCCCAGCCTGGCACCAAATGCGAGATCGATACGTTTCCGTTTTCTGGGACTATGGGGTGGGACGAACTCATTCCTCGACTGGCAGCTGAACCAGTCCAGCCCAAGCAGTAGTCGGCTGGGTTTATGAGACTATGAGCCATTGCATTTTTGCGAATTTGTAACAGGAGCAGTATAGAGTTTTGAGTAGCGTGATAGAATCAGACTGTATTTTTCTAGACATGAATCATACTTGCCTCGTGCCGTAGATGATGACCAACAGATTGTGTACTCCAAACTCCCAATGCCATCGACCACTAATACATATAATGTCATAAGTACCATGATATATTGTTAGCTGTCTTGCTCTAGCTTTATTGGACGCCTCCTGCGCCCTGCCCGAATGCCCAAGCATCCACTGGGTTGGACGCATCAAAGAAATTGTCAAAATTGTTATAAGCATCGACCGACATCGCCCAGTCCATGAACTGGTTAAACTGGGCACTGTCATCTTGGCGACTTGGATCAAGCCAGGAAAGGCTGTCGTTGGCAGGAACCTGGCTGTTACCTGACTCGGGAATGGAAGAGATCCCCAGGGGAGCAACGGGAGCCTCGATTGCCTTGGTGGGCTCAGCGCCGCCGGCGAGTAAATCCGCCTTGGATACCAAGTTGCGGACAATACGTGCTGCGTCGGCACTGACGGGGAAATTGGGGGCGAAATTGTCAAAAACAGCAATGGCCCTGTCCAGAGCTTGCCGTGCCTTGGGCGTGGCAGGATGGATGGGATAGGCAAGGATAAAGCCCACAATGGTCATGGCAGCACTCCACTGCAAAAAGAAGAATTCGTTCCAGCCGCACAAGAGGTCCGACTCGAAAACGACTTGGTGCATGATGAGAGTATAAGAAATGGCATGATCGACAGCGATGTTCGCTAGCTGTTCCGCAGTTGGGGTATAGCAGTTGGAGTGAGAGTAGAACGTGATGAAAGGACGCGTGAGGTTGAGGGCCGTGGTGTGGTATGCCAGCTCAAGCCAGACACGCTGGCGCTGCACCCACATCGGCGCCAGAGGATCAATTTCGACAGCAGAGCGGTCCGTAGAGAAGGGCTCGCCCCCTGAGCGGCGCCGCATCTTGAGCTGTTCAGGTACATTATCCAACCAGGCTCTCAAGATTGGCATCCTGGCAGCGAGAACCTTGGCACATGACTCGAGCACGTTGGGGTCGGCGTAAATCGAGGTGATGTTGTTTTGGTGGATTGCCTCTCCACACTTGTCGTACAGTACCTCGTAAATGTTGGCCATTGTTATGAAGAGCTGGCAGTTATGGCTAGAAAACGAGAGCCAGGTAATGTCGGGACCAGGTCCATACGCTCCTAGACTGGAATTGTTGTAGGTTGCTGTGGCCAAATCGTCGGAAGGTCTTGACATGCTATTTGCTTGGGCTAGATCCAGTAAAAATGGACGGCCAAGTTTAGTAGAAATCTTGGCTTCCAGTAAAAGAACATGCCACCACACCCGTTTGCGCAACTCACGCTCCCCGTGAGGCGTATCCGCAGGAGGCTCCAGATGTAGACCTAGTGTTTGGCCAGCTCTGACAGCCTGAGCGTGTACAATATGGCACATGTTTTGGAACGAGGCACAGCAGAGATAGCAAATGCTGAAAAGGTAGCACTGCACAGTCGTGAGGGAGGGACTCTCCAGGTCTGCATTCAGTAAGGCCTGTGATCTGCGGTAGTACCACCGCCCTGCAACTGCGGAATCTCCGTACGCCTCATCGTGGTCGGCAAGATGGGTAGCATTCCGGGGAATGAACGCATACCCATATTGTAAGCTTAAGGCGAGAATGATGTCTACAAGGGGCGACTGTTTTCTCGTTGTGCGGGACGGCTCCCACAGCGAAGCATAGTGCTGCCGGAATTCAGCCTCGTCAACTATGGGCATGAAGCAGTGGTAGCCTTCCCAGAAGAGCTTGAGCAGGGCTTCCTCATGAACACGTCTAAGGGCACCCCAGCGTGCGTCAGTGCCGGACACGATTTCCGATGCGTCTTGTCTCGCGTTGTCATCCGGCGAATCAGTCTCGTGCATGTTTTTGCTCCCGCCTCTGGTCTGGAAGCTTTTGTCTGCGTGAGGTTGCTGCAAGGCCTTGCCAAGGTAGCACCCAATGCGACTTACGAAGTAGTAGATCGACGAAGGGCCATAGTAGGAGGGCTGATCTGATCGCGCCGTAGCGACATAGATGCCTTCCCAGCGGGGCTTCACCACAACCGTATTCTGCACTTGCGACTTGACAGACTGGACTGGAGAGGACTGGTCAGAGGGTGACACAGGTGTAATGGCAGCGACCGCCCTTGGCTGAGACTTGTAGGCAGCCAGCTCCGACTCCAAATCCCTGACGCGGGCCTTCAATTTGTCGATTTCCCTGCAAGTAAAGCGAGTCAACACGATGGGGATATCAATGGATGGGCTCATCATCAAGCGGAATTCTCATACCTCAGAGCCTGGGGCAGAGTCCTTGGGCCATCGCCACCATTCTGAGTACACTGTGCACCTCTCTGGCGGCAGGCTTTGCAAGGCTGCTCATTGTCGCAACGAATCCTTCTTACACGGCACCAGTCGCACGCTCGCGACACCTGTTTCCGGCTTCGCCCATAAGGCAGTTGGCTTTCTGCGCCGGTAGAGGTTGAGGCTGTGGAAGGTGCGGCAGGCACTGTGCTCATCGCAGGGCTCATCGTACTGGCTTTAGAAACCGGGCTGGCTGATGACAGCAGGTCCGGCATGTGCTTGCAGGCCTGAGTAAATCACGGGATGTAGAACCAGAAGTTGTGCAACAATGTTCCGAGCTAGCCAAGCAAAGGAGAGTGGCAGAAGAAGGTCGCCTCGAGCTTCTTCTTGTGGGGGATTCGCTCACTCACCGCGCAAACCGCCCGTTGATGCGAGCTGACTAATTGGTCATCACCGGTACAGCGATGGACATTTAGGCTGGCATTGGAAGCGCATTGACTCGAGCACTGCATCTTGGTGGCTCTGCGCGACCTGAGGCTACCAAAAAAGTGCCAAGATAGCAGCTTTCTAGCAGAAAAACTGGGGGAAGAAGCGGAATAATGAGACGAGTCAAATTCGGATGCGTCCAGCGATAGATCAGACCTGCATAGGAACTTTACGACCCTCTCCCAAGCATTTCGAGACAGCCAATGACGGGTTCGTGATCAGTCCCTGGGGCATGCGAATCGCGTGCTTACGTAACCTTTCCAGGGTCATTTCTGCGTTGCTGCTGCTAAGCTGTAGATGCTTGAAAAACATTCAAACCAAGCTCTTGGGGTAAAGCACCGCCCAACTTCGTGTACTATCGCCGAATTGATCCCCATCTCTATCCTACAACATTATTTGGATACTGAGACTTGGGCACTCCCCATAAACACAACCTCAAGATGGCGAATGTAAGCTCAACACATACCATCGCTACACCTCCGACGAACGCGACCTCTCGATGCTAATTGGATGATTTGTGTAGCCCGTGATGACCGTATCCGATTCCAAGGACCTTCGTGGCCTGAACCTCATCGCTGCCCACTCCCACATTCGCGGCCTCGGTGTCGATGCGACCTCTCTCGAGCCCCGAGCCGCTTCGCAAGGTCTGGTTGGTCAGGAGAAGGCGCGTAAGGCTGCCGCTGTCATCCTTCAGATGATCAAGGATGGCAAGATCGCTGGACGCGCCGTTCTGATTGCTGGTCCTCCAAGGTACGGAAACATGGAGGAGATCGCTCTGCGCGATGCTCTGGTGGCACCCTCCATCAGACATGCAGTACCAACTGTTGGCTAACTCGTCACTTTAGCACTGGAAAGACAGCCATTGCCATGGGCATGGCACAGTCGCTCGGCCCCGACGTCCCCTTCACATCCGTCGCATCATCCGAAATCTTCTCTCTCGAGATGTCCAAGACCGAAGCCCTGACGCAGGCCTTCCGAAAGTCCATTGGCGTACGCATCAAGGAGGAGAGTGAGATTATGGAGGGAGAGGTTGTCGAGATCCAGATTGACCGCAGTGTCACCGGTGCTACCAAGCAGGGCAAGCTGACGATCAAAACGACCGACATGGAGGCTGTATACGACATGGGAAGCAAGATGATTGACGCGATGACCAAGGAGCGTGTCATGGCAGGAGACATCATCTCGATCGACAAGTCCTCCGGCAAAATCACTAAGCTCGGCCGATCCTACGCTCGTTCTCGCGACTACGATGCCATGGGTGTCGATACGAAGTTCCTACAGTGCCCCGACGGCGAGCTGCAGAAGCGCAAGGAGGTTGTCCACACAGTTACTCTCCACGAGATCGATGTCATCAACTCGAGAACACAAGGATTCCTCGCCCTCTTCTCTGGTGACACTGGAGAGATCCGCAGCGAGATCCGAGACCAGATCAACACAAAGGTGGCTGAATGGAAGGAGGAGGGCAAGGCTGAGATTGTCCCTGGTGTTCTCTTCATCGACGAGGTTCACATGCTCGACATTGAGTCGTTTGCCTATGTCAACCGAGCCCTCGAGGATGACTTGGCCCCCATTGTCATCATGGCCAGCAACCGCGGAAACTCCCGTATCCGCGGTACCGACTACCGCAGCCCCCATGGTCTGCCTCTTGATTTCCTCGATCGCATTGTCATCATCAACACCCACCCTTACTCTCCCGAGAACATTAAACAGATTCTGAACATCCGAGCCCAGGAGGAGGAGGTCGACCTGTCCCCCGACGCTCTTGCCCTTCTCGCCAAGATTGGCCAGGAGACTGGTCTGCGATACGCAAGCAACCTGATCACCACTTCGCAGCTCCTCGCTGCCAAGCGCAAAGCCAAGCAGGTCAGCGTTGAGGATGTGCAGCGAAGCTTCAACCTCTTCTACGACCCTGCTCGCAGTGTCAAGTTCGTGACAGAGTCCGAGAAGCGCCTGATTGGCAATGACGGCGCTGTGGATTTCACCGTCACTAACGGCAGCGGCGAGACCATGGATTTGAGCTAGAATATGGAACTGAAATAAGACGATGAAGATGGCGGATGCAGAGCTTGGAGAAGATTCAACTATCTTAGTACTTTATTTGTCTGGCGTTTATGGGAGGGTTCTTTCAAAAATGGAGGTAATTTTACAGAACGGATCTGTCGCAGAGGCGGGGGAGAAGCAGAGGAGTGAGATGCAGTGATTGGGGCAACATATAAAACATGACATCCATGTTTGGCGTACTCTAGACTCGGGATTCATGAATAGCCCTTGAAGAAATGCTATTGAGTTTTGTACCCTCGCGGCCGCATTATGAGACTTCTGGGAACCAGGCATCGAACTATGGTATATGACAGACACTGAATTCAAACAGGCGAGCACTCTCAACTACGACTACCAAAATAAAAGGGAAATCCGGCACCCCTTCTCTCACGCTTCTAACCCGGACTCACACTACCGCAGGCATCTGCCAGGTCTTATCACTCTGTGCACTGACGACCAACTCACCATCCTGAAAGTAGTACAGGCGAACCTGGTCAGACCAGCCAACTCCAGCAAAGCCACCTTCAACACGGCCCCAGCAGTCCTCGTGATTGCCGATCCATCTCAAATCGTCGCGCCAGTACGAATAGATATCGCCGTTGTTCGGCTGAGACCAGTAACATCTGAAGGATTCATCACGAGCCACGTGAATGCCAGTCAGACTATTTGTCGGTAGCCAGGCGGAGCCGGGGGTGCCGTCAACCTCAGCACTAGATGCCATGCTCGTCAGCTCTCTGCTTGGTTCTAAGGAAAAGGCACGCCGAGAGAGATGATTCTGGGAAACCTACCTGGCTCCCTTGGGACCGAGCTGGTCATCGTAGATGGAAACCCGCAACGTCGCGCTAATCAAGCCAACATAGAATAGATGGACGGCCTTTCGCTCGGCGGCCACGGCGGCGATGGCCGTCCCCGGGAGCGCGTTCTGCCTGACTTTCTTGGTATGCCACCCCGACTCGTCGTCCCTATGGAGGGCTTGTATACTCTTGTCTTTCTGCTGGTAGAAGACTCGGAGGAGGTCATCTTCCAGCCGAAGGGCAGAGAGCTTGGTCTCTGGGTGGACAAATCGGTCGACACTGCCAGATATCACGGTGTTTGACACAGTGGAGAATGATTCAGAGTCACCATCGCACTCGAAGGTGGCCTCGACGATACTGGTCCTGTTGTCGCTGTCAACGGATAAATAAAACAGTTGTGTCCTGAGATGGTTGGATCCGTTGATCGCCGCGGCGGCCATGGGCGTTCCCCAGGCGGGTTCGATACTCAGGCTTGCCTTCTGCTCCGGCTTGGCCTTGTCGTTGACAATGCGCCGGTACGAGATGGATGTTGCGTTGAGCGCCTGGTAGAATATCTGCACATCGGAGCCTTCAGCGCCAGAGGAGATGGATGCCGCCATGTTGCGCTGGGACTTGTTAATGGGGCCTGATTTCCGCGGCGAGTTGGTTATGCTTGATGGGGTAGCAGATGAAGCCTCGAGGCTAGCCTTCTTGTTTCCTAGCCGTCCGGTTGCTGCTAAGCCGCCAAGGACACCTCCTAGGATGGCTCCGGTAACAACTACCACGGTGATGAGGATGGCAATTCTTTTGCTTTTGAAGCCACACACTCTTTTCACTTCCGGCAAACCGGATTCATCAGATGGAGGATGTGTATCCTTTTCAGGGACAGAAAGTTTATCGTGTCCCTGGATATCTGGACCGGGGGGAGTTGTCACCTCTGGGATATCCGGGTATACTGGTATGGGGTATGCACCTGGTTCCACGACCGTAGGATATCTTTCGTCATCCCTCTGCCATAGACTGTCAGCCAGACTTTTTCTATAGATGGGGTAATTAGAGACGGGTAATACCATGTTATTTAAGATCTTAATGGTCTGTGGAGGAATGATATTGAAGCATGAACAAAACAGAAGAAGCAAAGGTCAAGACCACTTACTCTTCATCATCGACCTAGTTTGAGACCCCGAGTTTAAACATGCGTGGAGGGGCGATGAATGCAGCGCCCTACAAGAGAGTGGGATCTGAGAAACGTAACACGGCATAAGGATGACCACAGTTAGCCGAGGAAGGTCGAGAATGAGGGACTTTGTCATGGGAGGACAGATGGTTGATGAGTCTCAGCCTGAGACCAAAGTGGCCATTATGCTATCTACATACCTGGGGGGTAACTTCAAGACGGATCAGCAGGTAAAACTGAGAGGATCCCGCTCTTGGATATACCATCCACAGTCGCTATTCATATCAAGGAGACTGAATTGCAGATCTAATTAAACTGGGTTGCTCTCTTTGGTGACAACTAGATTTCGGGCATTGCATTTAGACGTTGTGAAAATTATCACAGAAACAACCATGTCATATACAATCAACTCATATCTGAAAATTGTCCCATCGTTCCACTCATCGTCTATGGACCTAGGTTTGGTAAGAGCCGAGTAGGAGGCTCGATGAGGTGCGATGGGGCAAAATGAGTTGAGAATGGACCGACAATCGATCAAATGCACCTGCCAGCAGGAAGTGAGTACAACCAAGCCAAAGGATTTTGAGAGCAGCGGTACAGAGTTGAAATCCGTTGAGGTCAGCGAAAGAAGCTGCCTGTGCCCACTAACTGAGACGAACATGAGGGTATCACTGATCTCACGAATTGGCTGAGATGGAATGAGACACCAGTAGTTTCTTGATTAGTTTTGTCACACGTAGCTGTTCTGATATCAGAAAAATGGTTGATTTCAAGCCCTCTATCCATCATGAGTATTGTTTTATTGGCGTATCAGATTCCCCATCTGCATCGAAAGTCCTTCGATTTGGTAATCGTTTCTCACGCCTATGCCTCCCAGCGGTTTTGCTCTCCCAAGCACACGCATTCCGAACACCAATTTCACCCCTAATCCAAGCACGGCTGGGCATCCGTCCTCGGAATACCGTAGTGGGCAGAGAAGGGATCATCATCCCACTCCCGGGTCACATGCTCGACCATCCCCGCGATCCGATCATGCTCCTCCTCGCCCCAGTACGTCTTGACAAAGTTGAAGATGAGGTCCAGTCCAGAGGTCACCTATTCACCTCGTGTCAGCTTTTTCTCCTTACGTAGTCACAAAGTTGGATTTCTTCAAAAACTCACCCCAGAGGAAGACCAAATGTCACCATCCCTGATATACCGAGCCGGCGACACCCACTTCACATCCGGCCCATTCGCCGTCGTCGAATCCCACGAGTTCTTGTTCGTCGTCGCCAGCCGGCCATCCATCACCCCGGACCTCGCAGCCAGCCGCGCACCCGTACAAATCGTAATCAGCAGCTTGACCTTGGGATACACCTTCTTAATATACTCCTCAATAGCATCCAGCCCCGGCGCGCGCACGCCCAGACCCCCGGGCACGATGAGCACATCCAGGTCCAAGTCGTCATCAAAGGTGTTGGTGACGGGGATCTCGGGGAAGAAGCTCGAGTTGAAGTTGTTCATGCTCGCCGGCCGCGTGGAGATGGGGTCGAGCGTCTCGGCGATGAAGTGTAGGTTGAGCTGCTGCGTCCCCACCGCCAGGAGCTGCAGCGGCTCGAGGGGCCCGAACACGTCGAGCATGTCGAGCGCGCGGAACAGGACCACGCCGAAGTTCCTGAAGTCGCTGCCCTTGAGGTCCGGGATCGGGCGCGGGGTGACGCACTCGGCGCTGTCGTTGCGGGCGGCGAGGAGGGCCGCGCTGGTCGCCATGCTCATGGAGAGCGCCGTGAAAAGGGAGAGCTTCATGGTGATGGCGGCAAAGAAGATACACTCATTCAAAGGGGAGGGGTTTGAGGTGTAGTGTGAGGAAGAGAGCTCAAGTTGGCGGCGCTCGTTTTCCTCTCAACCTCAAATATAGCTGCGAGATGGCGGCTGTGAGCGGTTCCGAAGTCACCGCCCAGGTCTGCCCCTTTCATTAATACCATGTATCATGTTGCGACATGTTTATAATGGAGACACACGTTGTGCCCACCTCTCTCTTTCTCCTGGTATGCGACCAGGTTCAAGATGGGCCAGCCATGATGTCGAATCAGGCCTTCTAGCTCCTGGTTCCGATCGATACCCTTCTTAGCCAGTTGCGCGCGGGAGGGTAACATAGTTCCCGTCACGGCTAAATAGAACCTCAATCGAGTCGTTGACGCCACCTCTTTTGCCGCTCTGGTTCTCTCGAAAGAGAGATTGTGGGTGTCTCCACGAGAATTATAGCCAAGGGTTGCATCCTGAATCCTACGACCCGGTGGGACGGCGGTGACAGCAGCGGCCGCCACCTGACGAGGAATCAAGATTCTCGGGGTATTGACGAGTTAAAATCAAATCCCCAGGAAAGCCTGAGATCCAGGAGTTCAAGGATGAGATGAAACGCAAGGGGTCTCGGAGATATAAAGGCCGAATGCCACCGTGCCATGTGTTGTCACACACATCGTGGACAAGGTGATAGACTAGCCCAGGGTATGATATAATGCAACACAAGTAATGTTTAGTAAACACAATTGGGGGATTCATATGTTATAAATTTAAACGCTATCAATACAAAGAAATAGATGGGGTCTGAAACTTTGTCGACCAAGTCCTCATCGTTTCCAATCTATTAACATCCTTCATCCGTCACTGTCTCCACCTGTCCGGGAAAGCCGAGATAGTAGTTGCTAAACTGCACTCATAAGCAAGGTAATACTGAATATGTGAGCCAAGTCTTAAGCCACTCATTCGTCCCGCAATGGCGTGCAAGTGGTAGTTGATAGTTTGGTTTCGCCGAAACCCGCGGGCAGGGAGATCAAATACCTTCGCATTCTCCCCTCCGCATTATTCGCCAATCTTCCCAATGCCACATATGGGCTGGCGTCTATGCTGAGCTTGACCTGTCCAGTTACCTGGCGAACCGTACCATGCGTAAAACACTGAGTCACGGGAGCAATGCACTTCCTTCCCGTGTTTCAGAGGCTGCCGTAACTGGGCAGCCATTTGGCCTTGCAGTTTGAAGCTGACTAGGCCTTGATTCTGATGGGCAGGCTCAGAGGCCGTGTGTTACCGAATGGCGGCCATTGTCGGCAGATTTGTCTCAGTGCCACGGCCCAACCAAAAGACACGCTAACATTCGGTGTGTAGATGATCTTGCTTTTCCACGGACTAGCTCGAGCAGAGAATAGATGGTGTCGAAAGTTTTATTACTCAGTTCCTCATCGTTGGCAAACAAGGTTCCGCCGTAACGCTGTGCTTCGAGAAAACGACACAACGCACTTCGCTTGCTTGTTAAGAAGCAATGCTGTCAATAATTATTTTCCCTCTTCAGAATATCCACGTATAGCCCCTAGGGTATTGCCGCTGCTGCTGGGAATCATAAAAAAGAAGAGACACCAAACGGCGCTCAGTGTGAATCGCTAAAATATCAACAACGAAATTGCAAATGCGAAACAAGTATCGAAGAGCTTGCTCTTGCACACCTTTTATTTTCATCCTCGTTCAATCGTTGCCAACTGGTTCGCCAGGGCTTCGTTTCCTTGCAATAGCTCTTCCAGCCATTCCGCTGCGATCGTCAACATGGTGCTCTTACTAAAGCCCCCACCCCTGAGTCCGGGTACCAGCTCGCACAGGTCGTCGAAGCCTTCCTTAATGAGGGTGCGGCGCTTCTGCTCGCTTCGGATGTGGTTCTCCCTCTTCTGCTCCTCCGACAAGTTCTCCCGTGGCGCTTTGGACCCGTTGGCCGATGGCTTACGTCTCTGGCCAGCCCCGCCTCCAGACGACCCTGCGTCTGACAACGGGCCTTCACCAAACACAGGCGCTGTAACGGATGTCGCTGAAGGTGGTGGTGAGTTGTCACTGGCTGAGCGTTCTGCCTTCGGCTTCCTCCGCCTCGGCTTCGTCGCCGAAGATGCAGTAGCGCCAGGGGCTGGGGTCGGGGTATCATCGCCCTCCACCGGTTCCGTCCCTTCCCGAGCGTTCCTGCTTTTCCTTCGTTTTCGCGGGGGGGCCTCGGGATCCTCTTTTACTTTGGGCAGCGTTTGTGCCTGCCCCGAAGTTTTTTGGCCGTGGTGTGTATTGGTCGGGCTGCTTGGTCGCGTGCTTGCTGCACTTTTGGAGACCTCAAGGGATTCCAAAATCTTCATTTGCTCCCTGTGCATCGAGTCAATTGTCGTAGGGCCTTTATTCAGCCTAGGAGTGTAACCTTGCACCGGGCTGAAATTGGCATCCGACCCCCATTGAAAATCATTTGCACGGTCGTTCTGAGGCGCAGGTGCAGGTGGTATTCGTCCTTGCTGCTGAGCACCGTACATCCAGTCCCCATATTCAGCTTCCTGAGACGGTGGAACTGATCGACGCCCATCTGTGGGGAACTCGTCCATTGGTTGGTGTCGCAGGTGGCTGGCAGGGGGGGCAACGGGCCGTCTTGGAAAGTTGTATTCGTGATTACCCGAGGCACTTCTTGAGCCCGCCCCATTCTGCAGCAAGGTCGCGGCAGCATTCAAGACGTCATCAGAGTGATATTGATGTTGCTGTGCATGCCGCTGTGCATGCTGTTGTAAGTGATGTTGCGTATTATGCTGTTGAGGCTGAGGCTGTTGTTGTGGCTGTTGCTGTTGTTGCTGTTGAATTGACTGATGTGGCTGATTCTGATGATGACTACCGTGTGGTAAAGGAGGAGGCGGCATGAGATTTGCTTCTGGCGCTGAGCGAAAATCGATTGTTTCTCCTGCAATTCCCTGACCGTTTGTGGATGCCAATGACGTTCCAAACTGTGGCCCAAATGAAGTCGCCGTTCCCATAAACTGCGGAGGCAGATCGAGCCAGGAATCACTAAAGTTGAGACCTTCGCCGAATGAAGGCATATTGTACTGATCGGCGGTCATGTCTTCGAAGAACGAGCTGAGGAACTTGCTATCCGAGTCTGTGAGCAGAGGATCGCCAGGAGGAGGCTCTGGGGGGTCCTGAGGTTCCTGATTCGGATCAATCGCATCTAAGTAGAGCAAACACGTTAGTGACCTTGGTCGATCAGGTTACCCTTCTAGCACCGCGCCCCCATGTATCGTGAGGAGTCGAGCAAGTTGGTGGTAGGCTGAGAGAGTGCGGGGAGGTTCAGACTTACAGCCAAAAGGCAGGTACGGATCCGACGGCGACTTATCTGAAGCCATCCTGACAGACTGGTGCACAGCAAGCATGGGTGCGTCTTCACAGGCAGTAAGGTGACCTTCTTTCGAATTGACGTGGTATTTTGTAGGTAGCTCGGTCCGGGCGAAACGCGAGGTATGACGGCGCTTTCGGCCTCGCGTGACTAACTGGCAGTCGGCCAAGCCGGATCACAGACGGCAGGATATAATAGCAAGGCAAAGTGACAAGTTGAGAACCTTGGAAGACAGCAATAAATCAACCAGTTCTACCCCCACATGTCGAGGCGAGGACGGGGAAACTATGGGGTTCGTCAACGGGGAGGCAGCAAGCCTTCGGTAGGACGGCTCGACGACGGAACGCAACGGTGATCGCGGTAGATAGTCCCAGGCACCGTGTATCTGCACAGTCGTTTGGACAGGATTGACATGTGCGCCCGCCAGGGACTCGAGGCCGGCGCAAGCTCTGGTTGTGGGGTGAGAGGCGGCGCACACGAGACTCCCGGGGGGGTGTGGCAGTCCTTGCTATTTCTCTCGACTAGTCTAGCTGCAGCTCGGGCTGGGAATGACTGCTAGTGGACAGGGCTGGCGATCGATCTCTCCTGTGCCGTTTCACGAGCTTCACAGGTACGGTACGGGTCCTTCGGTCGGTTGGGAGCGGAGGGAGGGGTGGGTGTGTGCGTGCGCAGCTCCTCGAGGCTGTCACGGAAGCCCAGGAACAGGGAAGGAAAGCTCCAAGCTCTCCCTTAGGTTAGCCCACTCAGCGTCGCGCAATCGAAAGAGCAGCGGAGGGTGGTTGGCAGGAACGGCGGTCGTTGGAGCTCAGGTCGTGGACTCACATGCCACAGGCCCAAGGCTGGAAAGAGCCCAACGAGCCGGGGGGAGGGTAGAAGCGGGTGTGTGTGGCCGCCCCAAACCCAAACAAGCCTCCAGTCCCAGAGCGATTCGATCCGGTGGTGCAGCTCGAAATGACAGTTCGGTTCGAGCTGGCAGACGGCGGGCAAGGGATGCAGAGCAGCAGTGAATTGCACGACAATGGAGAGAATCCCTGCCACAACCCCATCAGTCACCTGCATGTGCCCTCCACGGCGAAATCCTTGTCTGCGAGCTTCGCTGTGCATTCGCCGTATGCACTTAACCGACTCAGCTGACTGTCAGCTGCGGGATGCTCCTGCCATAGCACACTGGGGCTATGCGTTATGCGGGGAGGTTCAGCTTCTGGCCTTCCCTTTTCAGAAGGCGGAGCACGGCTTTGATTCGCCAGAACGGCACCTACTACCCGTTAAGCCGCAGCCTACCGCCTACTGAATAACGCCATGCCACATTCAATTAAACAATCATCACATGCTTTTCCGTCGCCAATTACACTTTCGCAGAGAACCACCGAACTGCAGATGAAGGCCTCCCAACTTACCTACCTATCACGTCAATGCTACTCACTACTGCGACCCAGCACTATATTCTTGGCTAACGTATGTTCATCCCTTTCGTTCTGCCGCTCTCCTTGAGCAAGATGCAAAGACGTGAGACAGTCTCAATATATGGCAGGGTCAGTGGGGCAAGTCCACGTCTTGGGCATATGTGCAGAATGAGAGAGGCAAGTGGGTGAAAACATGGCACATCGAGATAGTTCAGCACTGAATTTCA